CAAGTGAAGCAACGTCCTCCACAACTAGATTGAAGAACAAAACGACAGCAACTTGTCTGTTCCCCTTCCCCAATCCTCCAGCACTGTTCCCATCCCCCCAATTCCCCAATAAAAATCTAAAAAAAAAAAAAAAATTAGATGGTAACATTTAAGATGGGCCTGAAAATATACATGGGATTTAGACAATCTGAGAAGGAGATAAACAGATTGTAAGAACAAGGAAATAATACAAGTGAAGGTGGACATATGAGAAAGCATCCATGCTCATTTAGAAATTCTGTTGGCGTGCTCGCTTCGGCAGCACATATACTAAAATTGGAACAATACAGAGAAAATTAGCATGGACCCTTTGCAAGGATGACACGCCAATTTGTGAAGTGTTCCATATTTTTAAAAGGGCTTTTTTTAAACAGAAGAAAGGGGAAAACAAACTAACAAAGGAAGACCAGAAATACGAATAACAAAATGGCAATAAATATGCACCTATCAATAATAACTTTAAATGTGAATGGGCTAAATGCTCCAATCAAAAGACATAGAGTGGCTGAATGGGTAACAAAACAGGACCCAAGCATATGCTGTTTACAAGAGACTCATCTCAGATCAAAAGACACACACACACTGAAAGTAAAGGGATGGAATAAAATATTTCATGCAAATGGAAAAGAAAAAAAAAGTTGAAGTAGCAATACTTATTTTGGACAAATTAGGCTTAAAATGAAGACTACAATAAAAGACAAAGAAGGGCACTACATAATAATAAAGGGATCGATACAACAAGAGGACATAACCCTAGTAAACATGTATGCACCCAACATAGGAGCTCCTAAATATGTAAACAGTTTATGACCAACACAAAGTTGGAGATCAACATTAGCACTATCATAGTAGGGGACTTCAACACCCTGTTGTCACAAATGGACAGATCCTCCAGACAGAAAATCAACATGGAAACAGTAGCCTTAAATGACACTTCAGACCAGTTGGATTTAATCGATATTTTTAGAGTATTTCACCCCAAAGCAAGAGAATATACATTCTTCTCAAGTGCACATGGAACATTTTCCAAGATAGACCACATGTCAGGCCACAAAACAAGTCTCAATAANGCTGTAGAGGGCAGTGTCACTGGCCCTCATATGTGGGATCCGAACCGGGGCCCTCTGGCGTCCCAAGCCAGCTCTTAACCAATGTGCCACTCGGCCTGCCCTGCAATTGCTTCTTTATATTAAAGAATGCCCCCTAGAAACCCATGAAATAATTACTTGGCATTAACATAGTCATGTGATTTATTTGGCATTTAACTAACAGGAATATGTTTAAGGAACTCAGGGAGGTTATTGCAGCCCCTTAATAGTTAACTCATAACTAATGTAATATACAAACAGAGGCTAATAGAAATTTTTAGCTTCTATAGCTTAACAAAGAATATTTGATGTATCATCCTTCAGTGAACCACAAACTAAAGAAAAGTATATATGATCAATTTAGGTCTAAACAACATTTTACAGTGGAAAATAGATGGAGCAATTAAGGCCCCTAAAGAATTCAGTTCAGTTTTACATTTTTAAGATATAAATTGGATTAAATTATATCAATTATTTGAGAAATGTGTCCATTTTCAATAAGAATATTTAAAAACTAACCTAATTCACTAATGAAAGAACAAGAGGCTTTTCATCTCTCCTTTTCCATAGAGGGTTTTCTTGTGGGGGTTTTTAAAAATAGTTTTCAGTTTCTTGACTCAGTAGTATAATATAGTTTTACATTTCCTGCTTTATCTGCTGAAGCAAGATAACTCAGTAGCTATTGTCCAGGTAGAGTTTCATTTCACCCAGAGACCACAGTTTTATACAAAGTAAATTTCCTAACTTCAGATAATTTAACAACTTCTCCTGATGAGAAACTCGTTAGGCTCTGCCAAGAAAGAACCCCATGAAAGAAATCCTGCTCAAGTACAGTATGAACGACTTCATACTAAAGAGCTTTTCCCACCAACTCCAGTGCTTTAAGTATGTCCCATGTATATCTTTCTATCATTGTATATTTTGAAATAAAAAAATATATAAAATGATACAGTCCTAAGTCAGTTGTTATTTTACTTTTCATTTGTTTCAAATATTTTACAACTTAAATCTGTGATATTACAAGCCCCTCTAGAAGACTTAAATAAGTATGAAAATACTGCTTTCAATTTAAAGGGCAAAGTATCTGGAAAATTAAGGTCACAATGTTAGAGAACCTAATGGAGTATGGATTTCTGCTTGAAGTACTACAACCAGAAACCTCAGCAATCTTAAATCTGTCTCTCCTGGATATAATAAGTTTTAAAGCTTTGAATGAATTTTCAGAATATGTTTCACATCCCTCATAACTTCAGAAAAGGATGCAGCAGAGAAGCAAAGAGAACAGTCTCTATAATAATGGAATTTTTATGCAATACCAACAAGTTACAGAGGCTTTAAAACCAAAGATGGATATGATCATTCTTAAAGGAGGGAAAATAACAAGCATTAGAAGGTTTCTTTGTAAGAATTTGTTCTTAGATGCAAAGTACTTTTAGAAAGATCAAGAAATAGTAGATTCTTTGATCCAAGATGTCATAAATGCTATAGAATCATGATTAAAACAACTGTTAATTTTAAAATGTAAGATTTTCATCTCAGTATGTAGGTAATATGTAATATGGCTATAATGGGTAATATGGCTAGTTTCACATTCCACAATAAAACCTATCATTTTTTTCAGATAGGGCAAGCCCAGGAAATATTGAAAGACCATATTACATGAAGCATGTACAAAATTTGAAATAGGAAAACAATGCAAAATACATTTCAAAAAATTCGCTTTTAAAATATTCCTCTGAAACAATGGTTCTCAACCAGAGGTTATTTTGCCTCACAGGGGACACGTGGCAATGTCTGGGGACATTTTTATTTGTCACAACTGGAAGGGTGATACCGGCATCTAGAAGGTAATTTTTAGTTGTCACAATGGGAGGAGTGCTATTGGCATCTAGAGGGTAGACGCCAAAGATGATGCTAAACATCTATGAATACAATGCACAGGACAATCCCACAACAAAGAACTACCCAACCCAAAATGTCAATAGTGCCAAGGTTGAGAAATCCTGATCTAAAAGAATACCAAGCGCACAATCATATATGCATGAACAATGAACAAATACTTGCAGAATGAATGAGTGAATCTTAATAAACAAAAAGAATTGGTTCCCACTTTTTATAGCTTATTAGCTCTGTCAATGTGATGCTGCTTAATACAGACTCTATTTCTATTCTCAAGATTTTTATCTACTCATTCATTGGATTCCCCCATAGTGTCAAATATAACCAAATGAACATCACATGTCCATCAACTATCTTGCCCTATGATATGGTTCCAAGAATCCAAAAGAGGGACACTATATTGACGATTTAATTGTCACTCAAATTACCAGATGAAAACATTTTCAAATGCCAAGTGGTATGAGCTTAAAAAATATATTTCAGGGAATTAAAAAACTATTATTTTATTTGGCCACATTTGTTGATAAACCAAAGTATTTCAAATTTATGTCAAGACTAAATAGCTAAAACAAAATGTCTTTAGAAAATACTCATCTGTGAACAACGTAACTAGAAAAGATTAAAAGGTCCACATGGTCTACCTAAATAGTAATTCACAATTTCCAGTTCAAAACAATCTTAAAGAAATTTTAAACCTCTAGTGTCCCCAGTTTAATCTATTGGGTTGTCGGAAAAGTCATGACGTATTTTTTCTATGTTTTTCATTGCAAAAATGCATCATGACTTTTCCAACAACCCAATAATACAAAAACTCCAGAGTAAAAACTAAATTTTTGTTTTTTAACCCAGATTTATATGTATCCTTAATTGTTACCTAGCTAAAGATTGATTTTATTAACAAACAGCTAGAATGATGACTGTCTCTGAAAGAATTATGAATAAATTTTATTTTTTTCTTATAACTTTAAATTTTTCAATTTTTTTACTATATACATAATAATTTTGTAAGAAAAGTAAATGATATATTTAAAGAAAAAGAGCCTCTGAAAATTGACATATACTTATTAATTTATGCATAATCATAAATTATTCCAGGGTTAAATTTTAAGAATAGAGCTAATCATAAAGATATGGAATTCCTAAATGATTTATCTTTAAAGAACCTACCACTTATATAAGGGGGAAAAAATGAATATAATTGAGAGAGACTTATAAAGAAATGCTTCTAGCCAAAACAATAATGTTAAATGAACTACAAATACTAAATCAATTATAAGTATTCACATATTATTCTACACCTACACTTTGTTTTAGTTGTCCTTGGAGACACATGTTTCTATGAAGAATATATCATTGGCCTGTATATTTAAATATTGCCTGAAATAATGTTATTTCAACAAAAAAAAGTACCTTAAAAATTACAGCAACTAAAGCCCTGACATGGTCCTACAATCATAAATTGAAGAGCAATCTAAAAGCTGTTCAAATTTTCATTCAGATAGAAGTGAAAGGCACAACTTCTCAAAGAGAAATGGGTTTTAATAGAAACTTACAAATAAGAAGTTGTCTACCAGAAGTTTAAGTCCAAATGAACCAATGAATAAGGAAATTAATTCTATGTAGGATTATTCTAAACTCATCTAAAGCCACATGCACTTGGGAAACCCAAAACAATCAAAATAAGTACATTACCTAGACATGCTTTCAAATCTGTTTTTCCCCTCTGGGAATCAATGACCAGAGAGAACGCTGATTTCTTCTTTTTTACTGCTAAATGAGCATGCAAACCTTCAAAAGAGAGGCACAAATGAAAATGACCATTTATGAATCTAAAATTTAAATCTCTGTAAATCAGTGTCACATTAATGCACAAAAACACATAAACATCCCAAGCAAGTAGTATCACTTTGTAAGAAAATTTGAATTTAGGATTGCTAACATTACAAAAGATTTTTGTATATATCAGTCTCTTGATGTATTTATTTAGAGATCACTAAATACTTTTTAAGGACAATCTAGCAACCAACATTTAACTTATAAACTCCTTCCAAAATTTTTTATTTAGGGCCTACCACATGCAAGGGACTATGTTAGGCATAGTGAGAGAAGCAAAGACTTATCCATCACAGGCTTTGGCCTCAAGAAGCTTATGATTCTAGTTGGGAAGATAAGATATGCCTAGAAATAACTTCAAAATATAATAAGAAGGGGGAAGTGCCTAAAGAGCAGTAAAAAAAAAAGTCAAAAAATTCAGAAGTAAAAGAAGTGACTTCCAGCTGGGATGACGAGAGAATACATTAATATTAGATGGTAACGGGCCGGCCGAGTGGCACGATGGTTAAGAACTCGCTTGGGATGCCAGAGGGCCCCGGTTCGGATCCCACATATGAGGGCCAGTGACACTGCCCTCCACAGCTAAGATGCTGAACA